AAGAAGTGAGGAGTCAAAAGGAATGTGGAAAATCGAAAGCAAATGGACTAAAGGTCTCTTACTGATTCAAATAGCGAAACAAGCGATAAAAACGAAGGCGAGGAAACTATCAATTCTTCAAGCAACCAACGAACGAGAAGGAATGCGTGAATATGTCAACACGTTGTTGTAAGAAACGTCGGCATTGTGTCGTCATAATTTCGGGGCTAGCCCCGATCGGCCCCGATGATTTAGTAAAAGAAACAGAAAACAAACGAGACAAACGCGGCGAGTGGAAGATAAAAGAGAGAATACGATATACAATGAGCAACCGGGGCAAAATCGGCGTCGCCCCGTCGACGTTCGGCGAAGGCTTTGCGAGCGAAAAATGAACCATGTCGGGAGAATATGGCTAGTGTAGACAGTCTGTGCAACCGATATTGAGGTATTTTTCGAATATTTTTTATTATACCAAAAAAACAACGGGGCAATGCCCTATTGACGCGCCGCCACTGAGTTTAGGTATGGCACAGGTTATAAAATTACCGGAATTGTTTTCAAAAATTAGATACCCACAAATGAAATTGAGAATGCCTCATACCAATAAATTCTGAGCTGAATTGAATCCCAAAAAATGCTGTCACTTTGTATTAAGCTGTCAATTCGGAAATGATAATTTACAACAACATCGATGAGGTATTAAAACATTTTGTTAATCAGCGATTCTGCGGAGATTCTTGAATACGATAGAAAAAGTTTTGTGAGCTAGAAGTTAAATATTTACCCAAAATAAATTTGTTAATGTTATTATTATTATATTTTGCCCAATTGCCACACTAGTAGAATGAACTGTGTCCATATTCATTGCCTTGTGTATCATTTTTTTCAGTAGCAAACTTTTTTTAAAATGTGATCCAAGATTTATCTTGGTATTACAAAATTATGCACTAGTCTTCCGGCAATACTTCGAAACGAAGGCAACAAGTAGACAAAAATGAATTTCAATTGTACATCCACTATATATTAATCCAAACATGTCTAATTAATTATAGTACATGCTTATCTGTTTATAAATAAACTACAAAACATACAAACAAAACTACACAAAGCTATCAGTACTATCAGTAGTTATTCTATGTGAATTCATTAGAAAACCCGATATACTACCGTTGAGCGGCTGCGCAACAAACTACCTTATTTCTTGCAATTTTAGATACATATGAACTGAAGAATATAGATAGTGCTTTTATATAATGCTTTTAAATATCATCACCCATATTTGATATAGATCAGTGATTCTCAAACTAGGGAAAGAAAATTTTTCATTGAAAACTAATTATTGACTTGAAATTAAAATGCGGAAGTCTATTAGTTAGTCAAATGGATTCCCCCGTGTTTGTTTGCGTAGCGTTGACTATTTTACAAGATGCGATAGTGACGTAACAGTAAGCGTTTTCGCGGCACCTCGGACACTTTTCACTTGGAAATAATTTATACATGGCTGTAATCGTTGGCTTGCTTTCGTGGATTTTGTCGCATTTCCGTATATATAAAGCATTTTATATTTGTTCCGACAATCGAAAATAGTCTCGAAATATCTGGCGATCATCTCAAGCAGCTACTGCACCTTGCATCCTCCACGATTTCGACCCGCTTTGACAAACTTATTAGGAATCGAAGCCAAATTATATGGCTATTAGTCTAGGGTGGGCAGAATCGAGTCTTTTTTTCGAATCGAATAATTTGAATATTTTTAATACTGAATAGTCCAATAATGAATATTTTTATTAAATAACACGAATCTTGAACGTCGGAGTTCGATACTCCTTTTGGAAATTAATAGAAACATTGAAAAGTCGGCAATAAAGCGTTTTTTTCATGGTTAATGGCTGATTTCATTACAATCACTGATTGTCTTTGTCACCGTGATCGTTTCGGCGGCGATATCCTAAAGTTGGTATTCTATATTCCCGCTCTTCCTCGTTTTTTGCAAGTATAAGGGGTCGCCGGATATCCAAGTTTTATATTTCTAGTATATTCTTGCGTTCACATCAGCGACAGCTGTTGAATACATTAAGAACTGATTTCAAAACCAAATTAAGTTTTATCCTCTTCCTTAAATTTGATCTTCATTATCACCGCTTGCAAATTAACTGTGCCTGTTTAAAGTGAACGGTAACCGAGATGCAGATACCTATCAAAATGATTATTGAGTTTCTCATGCTTTTCTATGATGTTCGTGTTATTTTAGTATTAGATAGATAAACCTAGCAAATTTACAATTGCGTGTATCCTGAATGTTGATTTAAAATAGCGATTAAATAAATTGGCAATAAAGGCATTTCTAGGCCTTCGTACCTTATAGAAGGTCAGACGCTAATTATAACTAATTCCTTCGAGTTTTAACTTTTTCGATGATATTAGACGCAACAATTCGTGAACGAGTCAGTGTGCATTGTTACAACCAAATTCACGATTGATTTTACGTTCTACATTTGGCTCAACGGCCATGCATGGTCGAGTAAAATGTTCACATATTTGATACATTACTTGGCCAAGGATGGAAGGGATCACTAAAGAGCTAATACAAAGCGCTTTAAAGGGAGTAGGACATGACAATTCTTATACTCATATCAGCTTTTGGAAAAACTTTTGGCCATTTTTTAATCTATGCTATTTATATAACTAGAGTTTTCTAACGACCTGAAATCGCTATTTACACAATGAAACGACGAAAAGTCATTTTAACATTATATTTTAAACAACTTTATGTTCGGTAATGCAAGAAATGGCTAATAGCATGTCACCAAGCATGCAGAGTTTATTTAAAGTATTGGAAATTTATTTCAAATACCTAATCTGGTTTGACGTTTCCAAATACTTACGGAACGGTCTGTACGTTTTTTGCAAAATATGGAATTGAAACGTTACGTTAAGTGCAAAGATAAGCATATAACACCATAACGCAAAGGCAACGACTTTTCAAAGTTGTCCTTTTTCTCTGATAGCGACTTAGCGAGCGCCGTTGGGAAATCTCGCACAATTCACGATTGCGTAGGAGACGCGCGAGTTCGGTGTCCAAGCAGAGCGAATCTCCATAACTTTGAGGTTGAAATGCGGCTCTGGGACTTCGAGAACCACTGATATAGATAGTCCCGTCGCTATAGTAGCAAAGACTTTTTGTATAGCTTCATTGCCAAAACTATTAGCAGTTATATTATTTCATTCCATTAAAACTCTTTTGTTCCGTATGACGAATATATTCGTACTACCATCCTTGGTCATAATAGTTATTTTCGGACTATTTTACGTTTATGTTCATGTTTTGTGAAGTATTCCGCACTAACTAAAATCATTTTAGGCATCCAACTATGATCCGTGCTTGATCTGTCAACATTTTTTTTTGTAAATTTTTTATTTTACTACTAAGTGATTTTTATTGGTGTAGGTATTTCAAAGCTTAGAGATACACGAAAGTATTTGTCATTACTTCAAAAATAAGTCATTTGAACGAGCGGGAAACAATTTCGCGCACATAATAAACAAACAAAGATTCCAGAAAACTATCGTGAACATGCCCTCACATATCATTGATTATTTCGCGTTTCGCTTCGCTTGCGAAGCTGAGTCTGGTTTTTCTGCAAAGCTGACGTAACGCTCTTTCAGAAGAGCGCTTGGGAAGAGCGCGAATTTCGTTTCTTTGTAACACGTGTTCATTGAAGCGATAAGAGTGTGAAACGTTCTCTCAAAATTTTTCGAAATTGCTCTCTTCTTACCGGCGTAGGGTCGAACGGTTTGCGGCTACGTCATTTTGGCGCGTTTTAATAGGAAGACGCGAAAATAAGCTTTTTATGGAGATATTGGGGGTGTTCCTTGTACGTTTGGTTAACTGGTCATTACTTATTATCAAATGGTATAAAAAGTTGATTGTATACAGCGGAAAAAAAGGGTTAAGATTTGACATTGACTGAATAATATATCACGTGGAACACACACATGAGCACATGATGCACATTATCTTTTTATGAGGTATTGTAAATTTTACGAAAGCTCGGTTTGGATAATTCGTTTTCGATAATAAGTTTCGCTTCTCCGTGTTTTAGAGATCTAGTAGTATCTAACTTGAAAAATTTCATAAAGGTCCTCGTTTTTACAGTGAAAAACTATTGTTGCTGTTTTAACATAGTATCAGATAAAATTGTTAGTAGCTCCAAAGAGACGGATATTTTGAACTTTTTCCATAAAATACATCTAAGATCGGGTTTTCTGTGTTGTGCTGAAGCCTGTTTCAGCGTGAAATGTGAGTAAGCTTTCCTAAATATATAAAAGTACGATTACATAGTGCTATGATAAATGTGGGTCATGTTTGAGACACCGTATCATTTCAAATGTGTGTTCAGTTAATGGATTTGTGATGTTTTTATTGAAAAATATTTCACCATATACTTTGTAAAAATAAGTTGCTAATGTAGAGAAAGACGGTTTCAAAGTTTAACTTAGAATTTGTGCGTAAAATTCAAAATCATGTTTAAATCGATATTCATAACTTGTTTTATTAATTATGAATAATCCCACTGATCGATGTTGACTAATTCGCAATCGAGGAACGCTTGCAATTTTGGGTCCGGGAATTACTTCTGTGAATCAAGTTTATGATTCCAAACATACTCTCATCTCCGTACCGCGGAAAACATAAATGTCACCTCTCCATTATTTTTCTAAATGTCATAATTATTTTTCTTTCAACACAATCCCCTTTTTTGTTAATTCCACTTACTGTGAGAAAATATAACAATAGTTGTTTTTATTATGAATATCAGAAAAGTAGTAGTGTTGGTATAGTCGAATGTTAAAAATTAGTGCAAAGTGATAAAAGGTTATAAGGCTAAACACAGGAATATTCATACTTATCTCTATTTAAACATACCTAGATGCTGATAGATCATATCCACGGTACTATTCATCACAACCTCACTTAATAGGACTATTATTAATGTAACAAAATTTACATTGGCAGTATTTTTTTGTAGTTTCTTAGAAAAGCCAAGTTTTGCATGACAATGTTGATATGATAAAAAAGAACATTGAAGATTAATTTTGTTTAGTCAAGTTTCTAAAAGCCAGTGAAAAAAGCTTTCAAATAGTAATCATAATGGCTTCTATCGGAATTGATTTTGGAACAACGTACTGCACTGTTGCGGCATATAAAGATGGGAAGGTAAAAAACATAATTTATTTTTGACTGAAGAATAAAATGAATAACCTATTATAGAAAAATTTTGGTAGTAAGGACATTTATCAACTAGTTATTTTAGTTCGTGCAGACGAAGATATTTTTAGTAGTTATATAAATCTACAAAATTTAATCAAATTTAAATCATTTGCAACTGAATTATTGCTATTCTGAGATAAATTCTTGTGTAAATCATTATTTCAAGATGTGATGCACATGATTTGTAAAAATTGAGTGGCGCATACTTTTAATAAAATTCTTCAAATTTAATTAATTAGGCTAAGTCAAAATTTGGCTAATTTATTGTTTCTGTATTGGAGCCTCATTCATTTATTTACAATGGGAAGCTAAGTCTTTGAATATTTTGTTGTGTTTGTTTTTTTATTATAAAATCTCAGAAATATGTAATCATTTGCAAAATAATTATGAATAAATGATAACTTTCATTCAATTCACGTGTGATGCGATGATGTAAAAATTGAATGTGATTTTGATGAAATATTTGAAATTAAATTGCGTGCAAGATTAATCTTTCACTTGAACAGACCTTGATGTTTGTGTAGGATTTTTGATTTGGCGGGTGAAGGTCGATCTTTTGTTTCAATATGTATACTGCAATAAGATGATCTGTTTTATCACACTGTCTGTTCTAGATTTTAACCTAGAATTCTTGTTAGCTTTTGTCATGTATTGAAAAATTCATCCTCATTCTATTTGAATTTTTTTTTTTCTAAATTTTGGGATTTCTTTGAAATTGTGCTTTTGTGATATAAATCGGCGTAAGACTTTTATTAAAACATAGTCTTGTACTATTGTTTGATATTTTCAAATTCCAGAAACGTCTTTCTTGTATTATACATGAGAAATCTCAAAGAAATTAGTAGAGACCCATTTTAATAATTTTTCAGCGACTAAAAAAAGAAAATATTTTTTAATAGTAAATATAGTCCATGACGATTTTCATAAATAGGATTTCATATGAAGTTACAAATTCTCATCAAATGTACTATCATTGGTAACAGACGTATGAAATCTAATTGTGCTGCGAAAGTGTACGAATTGGGTAAATTTTGAATTTAATTTTGACACCAATATTTGACTGGGGCCAGCTGTAGGATTCCATTCACTGACACCTGATATGCCGAATTTTTTTTTATTAATCCTTTGCACCTGGAAGCAGTGAAGGATCTGCAGGGTTATAAGCATTGGAAATGACATCAAAACGAACCTTTTTTTTTTCAAAAGCATGCATATTGCTTTTTTCACATTCTGAATATACTATTTTAATTGATATTTGTAATATTTCCAAAAACTTGCGTTTATCATTGAGAGCTGTAGCGGCGTCTAAAAGCCGTATTTTTTCATAGTGACAACACATTTTCATCTATTCGTCAGCTCCGCACATATGTGAGATAAATTGTTGTCGGCGAATCATGACAAATTCAAGTGTTTAGTAATTATGGATTTCGGATGTTAAGATTTCTACAAAGTGATGTTTCACAACTTTCATGTTGATGTTGCCATTAGGATATTAAAGACGCGCAGTTTCACACTACACCATGCCCAAACAGCACAGACACAAATGCCTATCGAGAACTAAAGTATTTCGGCAGTAAGAGCGACATCAAATGTGACTGTTTGCTCTTTTTACACCCATTGTAAACTTCAGTTACCAATGGATCAACGCCCGGTGCCTTCATATGGGTATTATTTGAAAATCGACTTGTACTATAGTGTGAAATTTAGAAAAAAAATCCTGTTTGATCAATTTGTAGTTTCTTTAGACTCTGAAAAGTTATTTAAACGAGCTTAGTATTCATAAAATTGACATAAAATTTCAAATATAGCCGGCATCGCCTTCACACATCGAGGAAAAACTATGGTTTATAATGAAGTTTTACGGTTTGATATCACAAAAAAACGCTTCTTGGGATACGCTTTTTTAATCCCCTCCCAATTTAACAAAACCAAAAATTTTCAAAATCAATATTTTTTTTCTTCAGTTTTGGTGTGTCACCAATTAGAAAATAGTTATTAAAAACTTGGAACAGATTATGTGCTACAAAGTATAATCACCTTCAATATCTCAGTTTAGATAAATATATAAATATAACTATATAAATATAAATAAAATTATATCACGGATACTTTACGAATATGAAATCAAACTATGTTAGTTCTTTTTAACTTTTATATTGACCAAAATGAATTTTCATTTGTTGTAGGTAAACATAATACCAAATGACCAAGACAAGCCTCGTACTTTATCTTATGTTGCGTTCACCGAAGCTGAAAGACTGTATGACGATGCAGCTGTTCATCAATCATTTACTAACATGAAAAATACAGTATATGGTAGAATAAAAATACAATAATTTTATTCATTTTGAATATACATGCCATTGCTTCAGACTTTCTGTATACAAAATGTTTGTACAGATACTGTCGGACTATGGATGTAGCAGCTATGAATAAAGTTATTCTATTTTTATGTTTCAATTACATGCACATTTGACTTAAAAAATAACTAGAATACAATTATGTATATACTTCAGATATTCTGACATAGTGAAATCAAATCATTAATAAATCAATTTACTTTAGATATCAAACACTTGTTGGGACGTTGCTATGATGATCCAATAGTCAAAAAAGATGTGGAAAAATGGGGTTTCGAAGTTGTTGATCACGGGAATAAACCTGTCATACCCGTATGTATACCACACATTATTCCTAATCAATTAATGATAAACAAAAACAATTATTTAACTTATAAATTATGTATCGCCACTCATCAACGTGAACATCATCAATTGAATTGTTTACATCTCCATGCAATGCAATTTCTATAGAGAAGTCTTTTAAGTTTACAAATGCGTTTTGTCAGTTCCTTAATTAAAAATAAATATATTAAAATTTTTCAAAACACAAGATGGCTTGAAATAATATTCGAATTTGGATTTTTTATTTTGAAAGCGAACAAAAAATAGTATTAGTTAATATAAATAATGTTAGTTGTTTCGTAGGTTCAATACAAGAACGAAAAAAATGACCTGAACGCAGAGCAGATCTGTGCAATGCTTCTTAGTCAATCAAAAATCACAGCGGAAAAATATCTGGGCGAGGAAGTTATTGATGCTGTTGTATCAGTCCCTTCAAATTTTAGTGATGCCCAACGTATAGCAATGAAAGATGCCGGATTTATCGCTGGCATCAATATCAAGGCATTGATAAACGAAGCTACGGCTTCTGCAATTACATTTGGTTCTAAAACAAAGGTAATTTGTATTCAAACAACTTTTGGTATCGTTAAATTAATTGATAGAAATCAGTGGGGTTTATCATTACTTGACTAATAGTGCACATTTTAGTCAAATATTCTCCTTTTCATCGATAAAATTTCATTTTTTCAATTTACTTCATTCTTTTATTCCCCATTGTATTGCTTGTTAACACAATAGGTAAACATTTTTATTTCAGATTACATCAATATGCAATGTACTCGTGTTTGATCTTGGAGGCGGTTTCTTTGATGTGTCCGTTGTAGCGATAAAAGATTGTGTCTTTAAGATTTTAGCAACTGCGGGTGATACACAATTTGGAGGTAAAATGTGATATTATATATTGTCAAAATATTTTGCATAACCTAAAATAACAACGTAAAATTGCGTAATTTTATTTATCTATATTCCAAATTTTCAGGTAATAATTTTGATGACAGAATGGTAGAGCACTTTCAAAAACAATTCGAGCATTTACATAACATTGACATATCAAAAGACAAAAAAGCGCTTAATCGACTGAGAGCTGCGTGTGAAAAAGCAAAAAGAACTCTATCCGAGACTATCAACGCAAGGTATATTTTACGGTATTTCAAGTATTATCAAATAGGTTGTCTGATGAAAATTAAATGAATTAAATATTAGAAAAGGCATCATATAATATTAGTTATCAAAAAAAGATGAATTTTTCCCCACGGGTTGTTAAAAAGTGAACATTCCAAATTAATATTTTCAATTTCAGTTTTCGCGTGGACGGAATTTCGGGAAAGATTGATTTTGAGAGTTCAATTACGAGAGACGTGTTCAACGATATCAATAAGGACTTGTTTCAAAAAGCAATTGATATTGTGAAGTCAGTTATACATGAAGCGAATATAGATGAATCTGATGTAGGAAGATGCATTTTGTTTTTGGGAATCAAGTTTTTAAAGTATCCTGATAAAAATGATAAATTAAATATTTCATGAACTTTCTGGGTATTGAATTTCAAGATATATCAAGAGACGAAACATTACTATAAAGACGAAATATAAATTATAATGTATGTACTTTGTTCAAAGTTTTCAGAACTCTATTTTCCATCTTTTATCAGAAACGACTATCCTCGCATTGCACTAGAAACGTCTAATAATGAATGGAAAAATACATAACAATTGCAGTGTTAGTGTTGATAATTTCGATGGCATGAAAAGTTGCCTCCTTTTAATTAACTCATTTTTTTAGATTGATGAAATAATTCTTGTGGGTGGTTCATCTCGTATACCGAAGATACGTGAAATGTTGGGGAAATTGTTTAAAGGAAAAGAGTTGAACAAAACAGTTAATCCAGATGAAGCGGTCGCATTAGGAGCAGCCATTATAGGTGATAATTTTCTGAACAAGGTGGGCACAATTCAATACCTAATTTTGGTGTGTAGAAGCAAAAGTGGATGCTTTATCTGTAATTAAACACGGGTTTGTAAACCGAGATAAATTACAAGATATGGGACACGAAACACGCTCTTCTTATAAAAAATCTGATCTACAAATGCCATTACTCCGCTCAACTTTCCATTTAGTTAAGAGTTAGTCAGTGTTTAAAAGTAATCGTGCAAATATTTGCTGTAATTTATATATATATGCAGGGATTTTAATGAAACTATGACAAATTTTAAACACATTCCGTTCAATAACAAAAGTTGGCTAACTTTTATCATTTTGATTATCAGAAATACTATGTATCCGACATTTCCCCCTATTCAATTGGCGTCAAGCTCCCGTGTAAAAACAAGGACATGATGATTATTGTTCCGCGTTGTTCCGTTTTTCCAATCACGAAATGGATCACAATGGTCTGCATCAACAAGAATGAATCAAGGGGTTCATTAGCTATTGAGGTTAGTACAGAAATATCTTATTAGCACTTAAAGCCAGCATTTAAAATATTCTGTTTGCTACTGCATTTTGTCAGCAGCGTGTTTTCAGTATCGTATTTCTATGTAGTATGATATTTTGAGGGTAAAAGTGATATGCCATTTTATCAGACGGTTTTAAAAACGCGTAATGAAACTCTTCACTACATATATGAATATTTCTTTATTGTCAGATTTATGAAGGTGAGAGTAATTTGGTGAGAGACAACATACATACATGCACAATTCAAGCCTCTTTACTCGTTGGAGACTTTGAATTACATGTCAGCGTTGACCATATGGGTATGCTCAGTTTTCAAGTGTTCCAAAAACATCAAATAATAAAAGTTTTCCATGTCGACAAAAAAGGAAGGTTGGATCGTAGCGAGCTGAAAAAAATGGTAATTATAATATAAAAATTATGTGCATAAAAATTATTTTAAACGTTATGTCAAATAATTTCGATATTATTACATTATTTAATCGAGTACCCTCACCGTGAATTTTTTAAATCCACTTCATAAATTCTCAGTTAGAAGGTAATCAAAACTGCATCAAATTAAGTTGTTTATTTTTCAGGCTGCGGGACATCAAAGATTTCAAATCGCTGATGCGGAATGGAAGGAACAAAGTGAAGCGAGAAATATGCTTGAAAATTTTACATACTCTGTCAAGCAAACAACAAGAGATAGAAGATATAAAAATAAGTGGGATGAGAAAGATAAAAAACACATTCTTCAAAAATGCGACGACACACTCGTTTGGATTGAAACTAATTGGGTATTTTTAACTTCTCCATTTCTCCCGCTATGCATAAAACATAAACTTCAATTTTACTATTTTACATTTAAAATAAACTAAACATTTTGTTAAAATTACAATACTACCAAAATTTGACTACGCATTACGAAAGTGACATACATAATGGTAAAAAACAACTGAAATTTGAGGCAAAATTCAAATGAATTTTATTTGGTGCTTTTAAAACGACTCAATTAAAGCAGGTAATACAGTTCACAATACGGTTGAGATTGTTTAGAGCAGGGTCGGCCAAAATTTTTGGCCAAACGGCCACATGTAGTTTACTAATAAATGCGCGGTCCATTTAACATGGTAGTTATGTTTTTGTTTGCTACACTGACTACGGGTTATTGAAAAAACAAACAAAACCCTCACGCTAAACTTTCACAATTATTAGAACAATAAAACTGTTGATTCCCAACCATTGATGGGGCGCCATCAGGGGTTATTCCTAGAAGTTTCGCCAAAGACAAGCCAAGACGCCTAATCATTTTTATCACAGCTCCCAACAAATCAATGCCCATAGTCGTGCCCTTAACTGGGACAATGGCTGCAAGTTTTTTCGATATCTCCTCCCAGTCGGTTTCTATTTAAAATGGCACCTATGGTTCGTTTGAAATGGCTGGCAGCAGAGCACATTTAGGAAAAATAAACAAATCGTTTGTATCACATCTTTGTATACTACATCACTCGAATAACAGTCATACTCAATTTTTTTTATTCAATTCCTAAAAATACAGCGCGGGCCATTCGGAATGCTTCCGCGGGCCATGAGTTGAACGACCCTGGTTTAGAGACAGAGTAAATGTACATTCTAAATATGACAACTTATATTCTATTCTATTTTGAATATGCTAGTATGATATTGATTTGAGTTTTGGTATCGAATTTCAATAATACACGAATGTTAACTTTGAAGTTTTATTGCATTACATTACAGAATGCAAAATCAGACGCATCGCATAAAAAGCAGCAACAATTGGCAAACGCGTGGGTGGCTGTGCTATCAAAAATAGATCCTGAGAGATCGGTATAGTATATATAGTCTTAGAATATTGATATTCATTTTGAAAAATATAAACAATCTTTTTCTCATTTACCGTTCATATTCAACAATTAATTTTAGATTGACTTTGCCCGCTTTCACCCATATGACCGTTCAAGACTTTAACATTTTTGCAAAAGAAATTTCCCGGTCTTAAACTTGGTAGGACAACGTGGTGAAATATACTCATCGGGAATTAACAGATTTGGAAAAACCATTTATTTGGTCTACTTTAAATGTTCTCTGGTAATGACTGTATACATGCAGAATAGTATTAAATGAATTACTCTGTACGGATTACCTAATTAGTAATTAGATCATTAAAATCTAATATTACTTGAACATATAAATATGAAAATTTATTTGAAATATTTTTTATTCATCCCGTTTAGAATTGAATGAAACTCTTTAAAATTCAGATTCCAACTTTTATACTGAAATTAACAGGAACAATTTCAACAGCAAGAAGAAAAACGAAGACAGCAAGTGGAGAATAGAAATACATTACGAACTCATATGGAAATATATCAAAAAATTACGGAGGACCCAGATTACAATGAAAATTCTGTTCCTGGAGGGTGGATCAAACAAACGTTTGGCAAGATCAAACATTTCTTTTTTAACAGTAAAGTAAGATACTTCGATTGTTTACAATGAGGTATTCCAATTTATTCAACTAGGCAATGCTACTAAAGTGCTACTAAAATTACTATGTTTAACTTACTAATAACTTAAGTTTATGGCTTTCATTGTAAAAAATAAGTCGATTTTCTTAATATTTTTCACCAGTGATAACATCAACTTTTATTACATACTGATAATAATTTTCTTTTCAGTACAAGATAGTGAATTAACGATAGCTTTATAATATGTTATAAACAGCGGAACACTATTACTTTTTTTGTGTTTATAACAATCGTTCCTATGTATGGGTTTTAAACAGAAGTATATTTGGGGACGGTATTTCAAAGTTTTCCTTAAAGAAAGGTTCACACTGAAAGTAATTTATACATATAAATTCAACTCTGCCAAAATGTCCGACTTGCTCATCCAACATATTTTTGTACTCATATACAGTATAAGATTGCGGTTATTCTGATTTTATCATTGTGAAAATGTTCATGTTTTTAATTCAGCAAGAAGATGATGTTAAAGAATTGTCACAACAAGCTGGTAGAGTTATTGATGCTTTTTACGAACAAGACCAGGTCATACATTCATTTATTGAATAATAATATTTTAAACAACTCCACAAAGCCTATGAAAAATAGTTATTTTCGATTGCTGAAAAATTACAAAATTATTCAATTACATGGGAACTTTTTTTTCAATTATTCAGACATTATTTTACATTTTATATACTATTTTAAATATTGGAAACAATATTTCATTCACTAATTCTAATATACCGTAAATTTATTGAAAAAACATACAACATTCATTATAAATTCACAAATTTTTCATTAATCTTATGACAGCAAGAAAAGGCCAGAATGGAAAACGAACGACAAAGACATATTGAAGAAACGAAATATTGTAGGGGAAAGATAAGAGATGTTAACCAAACATTAAATTCTGACGAATATAAAAACGCATTTACAGTCCAGGAAAAAGCAGCAATTGCAAACGCGATTCAAGAACTGGAAGATGCTATTAATAAAGTAGGATTTTTAGAATATTTACGTTAAAAATTTAAAAATGTTGTAAAAATCTCAATCTTTACATTTATTAGTTAATATAAATTCGTTTGTTTAGTGACTAAGCATCGTCTGTTTCATTGTACAGTGACTACAAAAAGTCGCCTGAAACTCTCGAATCAATTCTAAATATAATGCTCACCTTTACGCTTTCAGGCGGCGTTTGTGCGCATATATTCAGTCATTATTCGCATCAAGCGAATAATATCGAATAAAACAAGCTAATTCTCAATAAGCTGTTGGTTTGATAGGAGTTATAATTCTAATGTATATCAATTGTTATCATACTTGCGTTTTTGCAATTTTTTTCTTGATCATTTCAAAGGATTTAAAACCAGAAGTAATACAAGAGAGAGAAATGGCTCTGGGTAAATTATGGGTGCCCACATTCAAAAGAGTTCGGAATAAATTAGAGGTGAGAAAAGTATATTCATGCTATTCGTTTACTTGAATAAACTAGCGACATTGATTATTCGAAAAAATTAGTAAAATATTTGCTTAATGGGTATTGTTTATCCCAAACCAAATGAATTCCTAAATATGTTTGAGATGCAGTAATTAATTAAGCATTTATTTCAACTTGTTTAATTAAAGAATATTCGGTAATCATTATTAGAAATACTATACTATAAATATTATTATTAGAAATACAGTAATCATTATTTTATTAAATAATATAATATTTACTTTGTCTTTGAAAATTATTTTGAACCAAAATAATAACGACGTTTTGAATGGAATTACTGCTATAAGAAAATTTCACTTTAGTCACACCATATTGTTTGCAGAAATGATTTATCTGGAATTTGAAACGTTTACGTCAAGTCTTTTTATACATATGACTTCATGTTCAGATTGAAAATCGAAGAGGCGCACTAAATGATAGACTCAGAACTTTGAGTATTGCGAATTCCGATACCTATCCGTTACTTACTGATCCGGAAAAAAATGAAGTTTACGAAATGATACAATTTGCAGGAAACGTGGTAAATTTAAAACGAAGAAATTCATCTCTGAAATTTATTGATTACCAGAACATTTTTGTTTACAAAGACCTTAGTAGATAATTTGGTTGTTAGGTTTCTCTCATCTCCAAAACCAATTAAAATCTTTTAATTGTCTATTATAGCATCCTCAAGTAATATTTTCATCATTTATTTCTACAATTTTACTTTTCTATTGGTAATAATCTTGATGTAAAAATAAAAATAAACGCAGTGCATTGTGAACTAAATTCTACAAATGAAAATTACTTTAATATTCAGAATTATGGAGCCGGAGAGTATGAAAAACTTGAAAAGCGCCTTGATGAACTGTCAAAAGTAATCGCAGAAAGAATGAACGACAAAGTAAGTTGAGTATGGTGATATGGCAATGAGAAAAAGATTATGAAAATGACAAGATCAACTAAAGCTAATAAAATTCGTTCTTTTTAACTTTCAACTTTTGAAGTTAAACACAGCATTCTTATTGCAAGCAAATCGTTTGAACGTTTTAAATGTTTACAAGGAACTGGAATCGTGTAGATTTAAATCAACAAATCTGTTGATTTATAAAGTCTTGTATTTTCAACAAGTTTGAAAGCGTGACAGTGTGAATCTAAACTTATTTGCGCACCGCCCTTCAAAAACACTTCGTTTACTTAACTTGAAGGTTCAACTTAACAGTATAACGCAAGCGAATTCTAATGTTCGATATTGATTAACTATGAATTTTCTTTATTGACTATTATTTTGCGTAAACTCGAGGGACAAGTGGAAGTGGGACACATGGGAAAGTGGGACACGACGTTTTTGAGACATCCCAAAAGTTTAGCTGAATAAATGTTGAATTTGATAAATAAATGATATCTTTTCATTAATTAAACAGGACAAAACAAGGAATGCTAGACACCTCCTTGAAAAAAGCATCGACGAACTCGAAGCCACAATTAAAAAAGAGAAATATGAGTGCATTGATTCATCCATTGAAAAGAAAAAAATGCTTGATTTTAAGAAATTTCTTCAACAGAAAATCGTAATAACTTTGTTCTTTTTTATCACATTACCAACAAAGAACTTTTCAATGGTCAAGAATTTTGAAAAACCAAATCATTTCCATGTAACCAAACACTGAAATTATAAATAAATATCTGTTGAGTATATATTCAGGGTTGGTAATGAGATTACTATTCAAATGACTTAGATGAATGAAAGTGGAAAGCAAAACGAATATTAAATAAATTCTGAACTTTAAAATTAATAATACTTACCTTATAAAATAAATAGTTCCAAAAATCGTTGAGTTTTTAGAATTTCTCTGAGTATGTACTTCTCTATATTTAATATTACAAACATATCCAATTGTTCTGTGATAAAAAAGTATTTCACATTAATTTAATCAGAAACAAAGATCATTTTTTAACTCTCTAGAATCGGTCGTTTACAGAGTACGAAACAAAAACAGAAGAAGTCCGACAAGTATGGACAAACTTTCTTGCAAAATTTTCAAACGAGGTAATATAAAGATTTTGAGTAATCATTTTTATTCTAAAATTTAATCATTTACAAAATTGAATATTATTAAATATATTCTTACCCTGAAATGATGGAATGCTATTGGACGCTTTATGTACCGAAAAATTGTTATTACCAATAAAAGCAAGTTTGATTATTATCATTTTCTAGATATCCGAAAACCAGCAGTCAGCAACAGAAACAGGGGTGCGAAATTTAACAGACGATTTCCAGAATTTGACTTTGGTATATGTGAATGAAAAATTACCTATTCATTAATTTAAATTAATTACTCATTATTACCTTAAATTCTTTATTTTTGTATTTTTATTGTAAAAAAACGTTTCGGTGAGACAGCTGATAGAGTCCCAGTTGTCAGTAGATTTACCTATACCCATCTATCTTACCCGTTGCGCCCGTACCTGTTTACACTTGGCTGTCCAAATCCGTTACTGGAATTGCTCTCAACTGTTTATTGCTGTCGCCATGAAAGAAAGTAGAAGGTAAGGCCACGACGCAAAGTGCGATTTAAATAAATAGCATCGATTTCAAATCGGTCAATCAGAATGAATCACTCATACCCAGATAGAACTGCCAGTCGTAAATGACTTTTGAACTTTCTTAGAATGTATTTTTGTGATCCGTTTCATCCCTGACCCTGAAATGCTTGTGAAAATGTGTTTTTTACTTGATCATGCTTTGTAGAGAATGGGATGGTAAAATTATAAACAATAATAAAACGCAAATTAATCGTCAATTTTATTGTAACGAAGAACGTTGGGTTGTTTACGGATTGCGGCACGTATTTATCATTGAAAAATGGCATTAGTTGTATTAAAAAAGCTTGGTCCGTAATATTTAGGGTGTGACGTGGCGTGATTGTTAACTGAAGTGTTGAATTTGGAAATTCCGTAAACACCATTACTACAGTGAATCTCTCCTTAGCGATTTTATCTGTAATAATGATTTTGATATTGCCTTGTTGGAGCACAACACTAGAGAACTATGAATTTAATACTAAAGAGTGCGTGTGTTCGTAAGCCTGTGTTTAATAAAAGAAGTGATGTCGCTGTTGTGGCAGTCGCTGTTTCGACAGACGCTATTTGGAACTCGAACCTAATTAGTTATAATTAATTTCTAACCCACTAATAAACAAATAAAACTTCAAATTGTTTCTTACAAATTTATGGGCTATAAGTCGCATAGATAAAATCCTATTGAAGAAGTACTTTTTAAAGTTATATAGTCGAATAGAACTCTAGCACACGATTTTAAAATATGTGAGCAAAGCTTTAAGGCCTTGTGGCTGAAAAAACATTCTCTTGAAAATGACTTAATCAAATTGATCTAAGGGTCCGAAAAGAGTTTCACCTCAACATACTTTTAAGATAGATAGTCTTATTTTCTGAAAAATAGTAGAAGATAAAGGAAATATAAATTATTTCAAGTTTGAAAATTTCAAACTGGTCTACATCTCATGAGTATGCTCCAAAACACTGCAGATTTACTAGATCTTAAGAACTACTTGACAAAATATCACAAAGTATTTTATTTGATACCTAGAAGATTCGTCAATGCATGCTGGTCAATTTTTACTTGAATCTATATATGAGACGTATTCCTACGAATGTACTCTAAATAGTCCCCACTTTTTGCTGTAAGCTTCACTATACCAGCTGAACACGGGTTTATTACTTGATTTTGACTACTGAAAATGAGAACTTGCAAATTTGAGAATAAACAAATTGACAATACTCAGTTTGCTATATACCGTATTCGTAATATCGTTCTTAGGTAATTACAACCTAGTAATTTTTGTCAAACTTAAGGATGTATAGCTAGGGATTATTTATCATTTATTATGATATTTTGGGACATCAGTTCAATTTTTATGAAATACATTTAAGCTTTTATGACATTACTTTAAATACCATTTAACTTATTGTGGTTTTTAATACAGAAAAGAACTGACGATGGTCGTAAGTATGGTGAGAGACAAAATAAGAGGAACAAACATGGTTTCATACAATGTGCAATATCAGATACACCAACATTTATGACAATAAATGAGTGTCTGGCTAAAAACAATGCTATCAGACATGTGAGAAAATCCTGTTCATGATATCAATGGAATTCATTGGCCCGACTGTCATATTTTCAATCCTATTTTTAGCCTCCAGAAACTAACAACGCGCGACAAGCTCTATCGAAGTTTCTAAATGAACTTTATAAACTTTCACAAGGAAAAGACTTTGGTCAAAAACTCACCAATAACGAAACGAAAATGATTCGTCTCGCATATGAAAATGCACATAAATGGTTCAGTCAAAATCCGGTAAGGAATTTGTTATATTAAATTCATTTCCAATGCTTGCAATATATTGCAAATTTTGTTTATCATTTGAGGTAAGTTTATTCTTTGTCCCAACAAGTCCCTGAATGACACATTCTACACCATATTGTTTTTTCAGTGATTTAATTTTTTCTAATTTTATATAGATTACCCGACATTATTATTTTTAGTTGGTTTGGCCAGGTTGAGGCTGAAATCGGATTCCCACGTATTTAGTATCAAAACCAAATCACCATGTCAACGCATCTTTAGAATTGAAAACTCTATTGCATTACCGTACGACCAATCGGCGTCACTCAACGTGTTGCGAAAATTGTTATATGATGTTCAAATTTTTATATCTGGGTTTATAATCGTTACTTCACTATGTTATGTTATTATATCTTTTCATTTTTATACTGACACAGAGCGCCAAGGAACAAGAATTCCAATCAAAAGAGGAGAAATTGAGGAAAGTGTGGGATGATATACGTCAAAAAGTTAAAGAAAGAGAACATGTAAATAAAACGCTTAGTGTTTTTTTTTAAGTTTAAAAGTGTATATTAGCATATAAATTTTTTTCGCCCGAAACTTTATTTCAACAACAAAAATCAGTTTAGAATTATCCTAATTTCTTGGACAATCTTGGAAATTGTTAACTCATATTCAAGATAAAATATAATACCATGTGGGTTTATGTAAAATAAAAAAGAAGTTGAAAATATCTGCAACTTTACAGACTAAACGATGCTGAAATTCAATACTCATTTAGAAGTATTACGCTATGGCTCATTAATGATACCTACAGCATCTCTGTAAGTTGGTATTTTATTATTGTGTCCTTGGAAATACAATTAAACTTTTTACCCTATTTGTTTACGAATTGATATCGCTTGCAGCTGCAAGGAAACATGCGGTTAACTCTAACAATATGTATTCTAGATCTCTAAAAAATTTAGTTTTTTTGATGCAACTTGTATTTTAATAATCTGTATTTTAAAGAATATCAATGATCTCTTTTTTTAGGAAAGTACAGAAGCGCATGTCAAAGAAGAGCTCATAAGTTACCACAAACTTATTGTGCAATACTTTTCCAAAAATGGAACTCACAGGAAAAGCTTGGCTCGACATAAGAAAAAACAAATTGATAAGCTTTGCGAAGAAACCGCAGATATTCTGCAGACAAACGCTGTGAGTCATTAAACATTCAAATTATGTATATATATGCTTTTATTTAATGATTTCAGGAGTACCGCATTTCTTGCGTTGGACATAGATTTGAACTCAACTTCAATGTATTAATAATTTTTATAAATTACAGTATACGGGACATTTTTCATGCCCGGTTATTATTTCGTGACAATCTTCCAATACCATTTGAATCCATAAACTTCATTTTTGATAATTCACAATGTAGCCAGCACTCTTACATAGTTATACATATGAGAAAATATTTTCATTTTTATTTCAGAAATCTCCAAAGAAAGGATATGCTGGGGCACTAAGACAGCTGCGAGACGTTGGAGATCCAATATTTAACAGAATTAACATAACTACATTTTAAAACTGTTTTTACCATTGTTAAAATATCAACTTTCAAGATATCTTTATCGTAATTTATTTTGTGTTTTTATTTCAACATTGCATAATGATAATAACTTTCTTGATATTTCATAATCGATGAATAGTGACATGATTTTCAGTATATATAGAGCATCAATTTTTTGTCGTTTCAAATTTACTCATTGGTGAGATATGTATAATTATCCGTCAACTATATCTGGCATAGTTTCATTGTAAATATTCAATATAATGTAATTTTAAAATGATTGTCCCATAAATTTAGCTGAATAGTATTGTACAGACAGAAATGTATTTATAGAAAAGACATCCGCCTAATAAAACTATTATTTGTTTGGCAATGGTTCGCGATCGAAGTGACTAATCCGTGTTGGTTTATTTTACCGTGACAATTTATTTTAATAAAATGAATAACTATGGATTTATTGTTATCCAATTTATTATCCAATATTTCTCGACTACATGTATAATTTCATCAACTACATATGTATAATAAACTGATAATAATTCCCCACAAAATATTGTTTTGTATTCAAATGGGAAAATAAGCAAAGGGTTATTTTCAAAAAATTAATTTGTAATAATCCGGCAGAATCGGGCCTTAACATTGTTTTGGGACATCAAGTTATTTTTATTGTTTAGATATAATGTATATGACATAAATAATGATACCCAGGTGGGTGTGGAGTATATAATGTTGAGCAATTTTTTTAAGTGGATTTAAAGTATTCGGTCCAAGATGACGCACATCCTGAACCCTAACCTGGTAAACATACAATGTTCAGGTTGTGCGCCATCTTGGTACGAATACTTCAGGAGCGTCTTTTTGTTGAAAACAATTATTTCATAACTACATGGTTTAGTTTTGCATACATAGTAACATTGAATCTTCTTATAATGTCAGAAATTCAATTTTAGTAGAATAAATGGTAGTTTATTTCACTAATACAAGCCAAGATCCATCGACAGCATCTAGCCACTTCCTATTGCGCTCTTCAAACTACATTTGCGTTGCCGCGCGCATTACGTTTTCCTAGTTTAAGTTTAAGAACTCGGGAAATATTTTATTAGTTGAATTGGATTGGAATATTTGACCTCGTCTTTCACTCCGAGCAAGGCCATGTAAAACCATCCACTGGTATCTAAAGATGTGTAACTTGTTTTCTTTTGGAAGAACCGCAACCTTTTTGTGCTGCATTGACTTTGGCAAAATTAATATATCGTTGTGGAGATAGAAGGTATGCGTATGCGAAACCGAGATGTGCACCTGTTATGCCAACATAGTTGAGTCAAACGTTTTGAATACTAGTACATCACACACATTTTCCTGCGTGCTTCGGTTGTACGTAGTAACGCACACATTTTTGCGCACATGCATCAAATTCCACTTGATTATTGAGCTATAGGTTTTTGACGAGCTTTTGTGTATGGTTTCATTCCATAGAATTTGTATACTGTTCTAAAGAATACTAGTTTCAGCTTTTTCATTTATTCAAACTGCGTGTTGAAAGTAAGTTTTGTAATATAAAAAGATCAGTAACATCAGCAATAAAAACAGCAGTACCCACTCAAATGACAGCTGGGGGATGGATACTCTTAGTATCTGCTCCATCGCGTGCCTCTTACAGTCTTACCAGTTTACATGAGTACCAATTGGTATCTAAGCTCAGCCAGAGACAAAACGTTTCGACTTGGCGCAGTTGGCGTGACGAAATGTTTTTAAATATATATTCTACAATAAGATTATTTGATTGCATACTACCGAAAGTTCCGCCTTATATATATATGTCTTTTCCCATTGCACTATTCCTTTACTGATATTCGATAATATGCCGCTCATCTGACATAGTTCTTAAAGTGTGTAGATGGATATAATCTTTTCCACGCTGTTCAGATGGGAATGCGCGAATATATATAAGAATTGCTAATATTGGTTTGCAATGCGATGAAAATCCCATTTTTTGCATTTCTGCCTCTCGTAATTGCTGCGTATACTTATCGAGGAAGTTCTGGGGCGTGGTTATCAAGTGAAAAAAAAAAACGTGGGAGTATTTATTCTACTTCTTCACTATACTATCAAACCTTGACATTTTGTAAAAACCTTTTTCCATGCAAACCTTTTTTTAAATATCCCCAACAACCATAATTAATTCTGTTATTAAACTTCCGAAACAAACACATTAAATCATCAACAGATGCATATCACCAAGTAGATATTGCTGAATTGATCTTTATTTTACCCTTTTTCATGTAATTCTTTTTGGTAAACCTGTTATCTATTGTAAATACAGCACATTTGACAATGTTGTAGTGTGACTTTTTTGGTCTCACATTTTTGATATTTGTAGTTAGAGCTCTTGGGGCTCTGTCAAACAAAGTTACATACAAAATATTGGTTGTAAATTGTAAAACATGATCATGTTGTTGGAATAACTTGGCATTTTACCACCTTATATCTTTCATTGTTGAGAATATTAATAAAATCAAAAAATTTAAAAATTAGTTTTCGTGAAATTTTTGTTGTAGCTGAATTCAAGGGACAGCATGACAACAGGCAAGAGAAGCACGGTCGCCTCTTTTAGTTTATGACAGGGTTTCTTAAAAGGGGACCCCGTCCTCCTTGGAGGCCGCTGATCGTTTATCTGGTAGCACGAACAAACAAACAGATGGAAATGCGAATATATAATACAATGTAGCTTTATAGAAGAGAAGAAGCAAAAGTGTTGCGAGTCTTTGGTAATTTGAAAAGCATTGGCATGGAACATAAGAATGAACTACATTCTTTCCCATGGATATACTATACAATGTAGCAATTTTCTCATTCTTGTTCTCGTGATATCATTATCTTTCACTGCGTCGTCGTGATCATCCCGCTGCATAACAATTCTCGCTAACAAATAATTGACTGTTCTCCACCGGGCGTATATCCACTTGAACCACTGGCGACTGCATTAGCAGGCTTGTATTGTTAATTGCAACAAAAATGGGTATTTTGAAATAGTACTCTTTATTTTACGCGTATGTTTCGACAGTATTTCCATATACTGTATATGGGTCGCGACCCGAAGCTGGGCTCAACAAATACCTAAAAGTTATTGGTTTTATTTCCTAGTAAATTTGGTGCTTGCGTAGTTTGTGCACCAAGATTGCGCACAACCTGAACATAGTATTGTAACAGGTTATGGTTCAGGTTGTGCGTCATTATGATGCACATGTTTGACGAAAAACACTAATACAAATATCGAGCCGTAAAAAATATTGCTCAAGGCTGCAAACTCCACACCCATGTAGAAATGATGGGCATTGACCCCAAGATGAATAATCACAAATAAGAAAAATTTTATGTTTGAAATCAACTTGGGCCAAAAAGGTCCCCTCATATGTCGGACTATAAGCAGACAAGGGACATTTTCGCGAAGCTAAATTATGTATACGCCCTTAAGATGAATACATGTATATTCCAGTTACAAGATCCAAGTGAGTTTATTCATTTTTTCCGGCTTCGAATATGCAAAACCCTAAAATGAACTAAAAATTCATTCATACATTTTTTTTACATAACTTCAAATTATTGAATGTTAATTTTGTTCATGTATGTTCTGGCATTTATCGTTCTCTCCATATTTACAATCTGTAGTAAAATTGGGCTATTTTAAAAATCAGATATTTGTATGCGCTGTGCTACCATAAAGTAAAATAAGTTAAAAAAAATATTTTTGGTGGAAATGGCTGCGAATGGCCGGTTTAACAGAATTCACATAATTTATAGGACCAGTGAAAAGTATCTGATCATGACGCTGAAGGTATCGTTATGAATATATAAACATTTGGGATGCTAACAATAAAAGTAAATGCAAGTATTTCATGCACGGATAACTTTCTCTCTATGCTTAGATGCGGTCTGTAACTATAACATTTCAAAATAATCACCTTTATTATGGATACACGCATAATCTAATTTGTAATAAATAATAGGTTATAGTCCCTGTAACGTGTATTCAAGAGTTTCTAAAATATAGATTCATAATTTTTATACATCGCTTACTCACGCATTTGAGTAAGGAGAATTGGAATAAAATTAAAACCTAACCCTAACCTGGTACACCCCCTATGTTCATGTGTCAGCCATCTTGGTTCACATACTACCGGATCGCCCTCTCAACTATCGCAGTCCTATATACCAGGGGTGGCAAACACGTCGATCGCGATTGACCGGTCGATCGCCACGTCTCAAGTTGCCGATCGCGTCTGATGTTGAGTAAATGTAATAACATACCCCAATCAATTGCCTTGAACCAGTTTCATACAGCGCCTGTTGTGTGTTTTAAAATAGGAAGAATATAGTACTGTACTACGCAAAATACAATATATGCATGCAGTAATTGGGTATGGACAAGCCCGTTATAGCATATTATTACAAAACAAATGCAAATTTCACTACTGCCAAGTTTTAGAAATGAACTTGCAGAATATGGTGTGTCTTGACTGGTAAACGTTCCTACAACTATTTCTGCACTGTGCGAAAGTTATTGTCTCACTCCATGTAGTAGTGTCATAAATTTTATTCGCAACTGTAGCAGTGGCATCAGGATGCAAAATTTCCCTAATTCTAAGCGAGCAAAAATCGGACTTGAAGAAAATTGTATTGTAAATTAGATACTGAAGTTTGAGCAGTCATGTAACATTTATGGTTTGAGAATACTCATTAGTCGCTGTTTAGATAATACATGTTTACTTTACAAGGTTTTTTGAGGAATTGAAAACACTTGAGACTACAAATTAGACAGGCCCTATAGATCTGAATTGTATAATTCGAATAAACCTAAAATAAATGATGAAACATTTACTTCGAGTACAATTATATAATTTAACATGAGAGCAATGACCAAATATATGAACACGTGGGCCACAGCGAAGCAGTCCTTACCTTTGATGTTACCGGTACCTTCAAAAAACTTCCGAGTTTCCAATAGCAAGGTTTGT